ATTTACAGTACAAAGCACTAAGCTAGAGAAGTAAAACCAAGAAGTATTACCAAGGAAGAATTAAATTATGTTTGACAAATGCGATTATAATAGAAGCAATTCCATAGGTGGAGCAACGGAGCTCAGAAGCGCTGGACAAGTAATTAAATCTATCCTAAATCGAATGAGAAAACATATCGCATTATCAATAATGAATCAATAAATGGAAAGAGTATTTAGAAGACTGCTTTCTTAGAAACAGAAACTTCCCCATCACAACAAGGAAGTGAATTTGAGCAAAAGGGTAGATTGACAATTAAAGATTTAGAAAAAAGCACTTAAACAATGAAATCCATAAGTCACCTAGTCCGGGAGAATATACCGGCAGAATACTGCAAATATTTGGTCCCCTCAAAACTGCAGCCAAAGTGCTCCAACACTTTTTTTTTTTAAGGGTGCTGAATGCGAGAGGCTCCTCCTCAGGAGTGGTTGGAACATCTTACCTACACCAATCCATAACGAAAATCTAGAGGACAATGAAACAAACTACAGAGGAATAAGCAAATTATTGGATCTATGGTAGAACTGATGCAAAATAATACAAATTAAAATAAAGAGCGATAGAAAGGAAAAATAGGAGAGGAACAATGTGGTTTTACTGCCGCAGGTCGGTCATCAGACAATATATTTAAAACAACTTATAGAAAAAGAGAACAAGAGAGGTAGGGAAGTTCATCGGAGTTTCATTGATCTCAGAAGGCATATGACAATGTAAGGCAGTTGCTAGAGTATGGGAAGAAAATGGATGGACTTCAAATCAGTGAACCACTTAATTGGGGCCACAACAGAATCTATATATAGAATAACACTCTCAGTTAAGATTTCAGCAGGCTCTAAGATTCTCTTGCCAGCAAAAGATCTTCGTCAGGGTTGCTTGTCTTTCCAACCTGTTTAAAATATTACATTTCCCTTAAAACGAATATAATAAATAAGAATTTCCTTATCCCATTAGACTTTCTGTTTCTGTAAACTGTTTCAAGCTGAACCAAAGAAAAAAGCGACCTGCATTCGCTTCCTGTGAAATAGAAGGAGAATAGAAGAAAGAAAAACTGGTCAAAACTTGCCTCTCACGCATTTCAAGTTATAAATACATAAAATCGTACTACTATTATTAAATTTGAATGTTAGTTGCAAACAACAATTGAATATGTATTATTATGGTAATTATTATTGTTAATGTATATTATTATTAACTATAATTATTATTATAAGTAGTAGATTAAAATAACATATTGGAAATGGTTAATTTTAAGCAGATATTAATCTACTGTATAATATCTTAAATCTACTGTAACAAGTATTGTCTTTCTAGGCCATGACCCATCTCGATCAGGTTTTGTTCAGTTTTCCTGGTCCTTTGAGTAAATGCTGAGATGGCCCCTTGTTTTGCTTCCTGAACAGTAATGTAATTTGCTCTCTCCACCCAAGCATCTATTGACTCGTCTAACATGATTGTTCAATTGATATGTGACCTCAATAATATTATTATTATTATTAATTATTACTTATTGAAGGACTTGTTTTGTACTGTGATAAAATTTTCTTATTGATATTGAATTAAGACAATGCACTCCTCTGACTAATTGGATGTTGCTTCAGTTTTCATGTGCGGCAACTGAGGTTGATTTGTGATGATGTTTTAACCAGAAATTTCCAAATTTAATTAGTTTTGCTATTTGCCTTCTAAATACTAGAATGATCCACATTTTTCATTCCTTCCTCTGCTAAAGCAACCAGGCATCGTGAACAGGCAAACCAGGTCCTTCATCCGTTTAATTTCATAATTCTATAAGAATTATTTTGTCATGCCATGCCACTCCACCTATTGACTTTAAAAACATACCACCGAACGTTAAGGATGGTGGCTGGTTCATTCTCAGTGTTCCGGCAAGTGGGACATTTCTAATTCAACTAAGTCTAATGGAAATGTTAATCAATCCATAATGCCCATTTTTCCACCTTACTATTGAACATTTCCATTGTAAAGAAAATAATACTATTTTCAAATTATGTAAGAAAGAGCAACAATACTTACTTTTTTTCTCTCTATGCGAGAGTACAGAAATCTTCAATAAACAAGATTCCAACGATTCGCTTCATAAACAAAGATAAAGAATGAGAACACCCACGGACATGCAGTCATGTTCTATTCGGAATGTATCTGACACAAGTTACCACACACTTGACGTAATTAAATGGGAGATACAACTCGACGTTTAAGCACTGATAGACGAGCTAACGAAGCACTACTAGAACACCAGGCAAAAAGGGTTTAGGACTTTCATAATCGCCCTGGGGCCCAATGCAAGGATTATCCAGCCTCTAAAATGTTTCTCTGCATTCATATCTTGAAACAAATATTTCTCTATTCAACGCATAGTTAACTCAGAAAGGTCAAGTATTTATACAGAAAATGCAATATTAATTCCCTTGTATCATTAAAAAAATCTTTCAAAATTCATTTTTCTTCTTTTTTTGTGTTTGTGTGAGTGTGTGTGTTTGTTTGTTGGGTCAAACGTAAGTGTAAATAAACCAGTTGTCTATATTTTATACATGCGGTGTTTTTGCACTCTTTGACTGAAGACATTGTTTTGACTCCATAAATGGGTCAAAATTACAAATTGTTATATGCCACATTTTTGTTGAATTACTTGCTAAGGCAAGTTATGACTCTCAGATGTTGTTTCTTTAGTTTAACATTTGTTTGGTGAAATTTTGGGGCAGTTTACAGAAAATTTAGAAATATTCTGGCATCATTCTTTCCAACAACTAATCCCAGTATACACAATCGCATAAGTACTTCATCGAAATTTTCTTGAAAAGTAGAAGTGTTATCAAAAAATTGTTCAACAAATATTGGTTTGCCTTCCCCTTCCCAGTAAGAAAATCAATTTTAGATTTCTTGAAAAAATACCTAAAGTTTAGGTTCCTAACAAAAATCAGGATTGGAATTGTATTATCTTGGGGCCTAGTTGAAGGCCACTCAGGACCTTGGCAAAGGTTAAACCAGCCATGATCAGAGCATGGTTTCAAGTATGTGTGCCGATAATGTTACTTAAATCTAATGAAATATATCTGCAAATGATTAAAAATTCTAGTAATTTTTTTGTGAGGGGTGGGCACACGGTATGTGAAAAATTAGAACAATTTTGAACAACCAACAGACACATTTTTGCGTCGATTAACAGAAGTTGGTGATGTGAGTGGAAGAGCGATTTGACAGGTAGCATACACTGAGCATTTGTCCTGGGACACAAAGAAACCCTTGAAATAGAGTTACTTATAAAGTTAACCATATCATATATCCATATTGTTTGAAGCAACAACTTCAGAAACTGTCAATCACCAACTTATTTAATCGAACTAATGTGGTTCCAATTTGAAGAACAAATTCTATTAAGTACTAGTGGTGCAACATATTCTTGTTACTAGGTAACATATTATTCTATTCCTAACACTACGGCCATCTCGTTGAAAAAAACTAAAGAAAAAAATTATATTTTTTTGCTACCAACGTACAACTCTTAACAACCACTAATACTGTGAAAAAGTGTACGCTGAAATTATTTAAAGATCAATATTAGGTATAGATCACATTCAGATAACATATATTTTAGTTACAATATATTTAATACTAGAAATAAGGGGAAAACAAAGAAAGAAAAGAAAAGAATTGAACTTTATCACTCCACTAGTCACTATCCTACACTTAAATGTAATAAAATAGAAGAATAAGAATTCAAAGAACACATTTGCACAAGTCATGTTTCTACAAATATCTATTTCATTTATATTCATTACACAGAAACAACCATACTTAAAAAAGTTTAGCATCTTTCACAATTTAGATGACACATTTTTAGAACACAAGTTTACTCATACATTCGTTCATACACAAATTTGTAAAGCTGGCAATACATTTAGACTGTAAAGGAAACTGAAAAAAATATTTTTAATCATACAGAAGAGCACCATTACCATATGAATGACAAAAATGCTTAAATATTTGTATCAATGATTGCAAAATTTGTTTACAATAATACATATTTTAAGCTTAATCTACAGATTCATACTTGGTCTTCTGGTTATCTACAAAGATATCAGAAAACAACCTCTCTGACAACATTTTTTATTTAACTTGTTTTTTTATTTGTTTTTTGCTAGCTTGATATAATTATGAAATTAATGTTCATATCATGTCAGATTACTGCAAATTACAATGTAGATCTCTTTGAAGATCTATTTTGCATGATAATTTTATTGCATTAACTAACAGAATTTAATAATACCAATAGAAAAATTAAACTTACAACAACAAATATATTAACCAAGTTAACATATCTGTAAATTAACACAATTCACTATTTCACCTTTTTTTCAAATAATACACACATTACACACAATTCAAAATATACGCTTTGCGGAAGACAATATGGACATTTGCTCAAGATCCTGCTACTCGTAACATCAAAGCTTTTTCATCTAGCATCTTATTGAATTTACACAATAAAAAATACGATTCAAGACACAATGAAAATTGACATTCAATATTTTGAAATCAAATTACAACAACATTTCTCCAGGCAAATTGAATTTAATGAAATAATGGATGAAAGAATGAAAATGTTCAGTAAGAATTCTTATTCTAACCCAATGTTAATGCCCAGACTCGTGATTTCATGCATCGTCCATTCATGTCTACTTGAAAATGTTCACCTTAATGACAATCATATTTATTGTTAAATTACTGCAATTCAAAACATTTCTCACAACAGATAAAAACACACACAACACAACGGCCAACA